CTCGCGCCGCCCTGCTGTGCGGCCTTCGCGGTGAGCGGCGAGAGAGGGCGGCTGGGATGGGGGCCCCTCCCAGATTCGGGTCCCGCCTCTGCGTCTTCCAGACCAGCCTTTCCTATCGAACCGGTACTCCGTGCGCCGGCTCATGTTCAGACTTTAAAATGGTCCGGGTTCAGAAAGCCGGGTCCCAACCGCTTTTCCGCATTTTCGCCGTCTGTTAGGCGCGATGGTAACCGGATTGACCGGAGCCAGCTCGGCGGGGCTCCCCAAACTAGTTTCTAGACCTGAAGACTTTCTTGTTCTTTTCCACTTTTTCTCCCTCTTCTTTCATCACATAAGTTCACCGAAAGCAAAAATGGCCTTCTGTCTTTTTAACAGATGAGTGTCTTTCATTCCTGTGTGGAATGGAAGCTAAATGATTTGAATTGACATACTGTTTTATTTAAAATGCAATGTTTCTTCTCATTTTTCTTAGTTTTTAGAAATCAGCTACCCAGGAAAAATGACTTTTACTCCCATGAGCCGCCTTCTGAGGATCCTCCCCCAGAGACCGGAGCGTCCGTGCGCCTCCAGCTCCAGTCCGGGGCTCAGCTCTGCAGGGTGTGCGGCTGTTTAGGCCCCAAGACGTGCGCGCGCTGTCGCCAGGCGCATTACTGCAGTAAGGACCACCAGGCTGTGGACTGGAGGTGCGGGCATAAGCAGGCGTGTAGACAGGCAGGTGAGTCCATCTTCTGTTTAAATTCCAGCTCAGCTTCATAGCACCTACCAACTGAGATTTTTATTTTGCCCAGAAAAGTTAAAATTAGAAAAGCTGTGATACTTCTCAGAAGTTCGGTAGCGACACCACCTTTATGCAGAGCTGTGCGCCGTGGCCAGTGTGGCTGAGTTGGTCTTGTGGTGCAGGAAAGGCCTCCCTTGGATTCCCAGTCAGGGCACGTCCTGGGGTTGCAGCTTGATCCCCAGTAGGAAGAGCTGTGAGATTCTGCCCACTTAGTTAGGTCTCATAGGAGCAGCATTTAATGGTCTGCAACCTAAAATGTTGGAGTTATAGATATTAATTTACCAGGAGAAGCTGTTACTGTATTGGAATATACTTTAGAAATATACTGTGAGACCATTCTTAAAACTAAGTTATTACTGGTGGTACAAGTTACCTTTTTTGTTTCAGGTAATGTGGACAGTACAGTTCCAGATCACAACTTCCTTTTTCCAGAATTTGAAATTGTAATAGAAACAGAAGATGAGACGACACCTGAAGTTTCAGAAAAAGAAGATGAACCGGAGATTATAGGGAGCATGGGTAAGGAGTCAGTTTCAGAACTTTATTCGTTAAGTGATTGTATGCGATGCTTGAAACAGTGGCTTAGAGTCCAGAAGAGGTGCTGACAGGGAAGGCCAGCCCACTCGGAGGCTGCAGTACAGAACCTTCCGGTGCTGCCTCATCTGACGACGCCCGTCTTGTTCCGCCCACCGTGACACATGTCAGGCACATCCTGGGTCCATGAGGTGTGTCAGTCAGAGGAAGTGTGCAGGTGGCACTTGGGTAGGGCTGCACAGGATGCTGGGGAAATTGGTAAGTTCATCTGGGTTCAAGGTCTATTCCTCAGATCAAGATGGCGTACATGAGAGAATGTGGGGCACTTTTTTCTTTTTCTTTTTTCATTGATTTTAAATATGGTTTCTTGATGTTGATTTTTAGAGAGAGGGGAAAGGAGAGAGAGAAACATCAGTTTATTGTTCCACTTATTTATGCGTTCATTGGTTGATTCTTGTATGTGCCCTGGCTGGGATGGAACCCACTGCCTTGGTGTATCAGACTGACGCTCTAACCAATGGAGCACCCGGCCAGGGCCAGTAGGCCCTTTCGAAGAGAAAGGCATCTCTCATTGTCCCCACCTTGATCCTTATCTTCTCATATAAATTTAAACAAGAGACCTCCAGTGCATTGCGAAAAGCCAATTTAATAAAGCAGTTAGAGCAGTGGTCGGCAAACTCATTAGTCAACAGAGCCAAATATCAATAGTACAACGATTGAAATTTCTATTGAGAGCCAAATTTTTTAAACTTAAACTATATAGGTAGGTACATGGTTATTAACTTAGGGTACTCCTAAGCTGGCCTTTGCTAAAAACGTCCTCAATCTGATTGAGGTACGTTCACTGAGGTCGACCCCTTCCAACTCTCCCATCTACACTCGTCTTGTATACAGTGGGGCCTTGACTTACAAGTGTCTCGAATAACGAGTTTTTTGAGATACCAGCTGTCTCTCGGCCGATTTTTTGCTTTGAGTTGACAGAGTAATTTGAGTTAACAAGCTCCTTAACGAACTCAGTCTTGGAACGAATTAAACTCGTAAGTCAAGGCCCCACTGTACTTGTTTCGTCTATCTCCTTTCCGAAAACCGACTTCTGCGCATGGGCCACGAAGTTTCAATCGCACTGTACGTGTGCGCCCGCACATGGTATTTTGTGGAAGAGCCACACTCAAGGGGCCAAAGAGCCGCATGTGGCTCGCGAGCCGCGGTTTGCCGACCACTGAGTTAGAGCATGCACCTTTGGTGAAAAAGCAAAGCAAGCAAACCTATGCATGTGGCTTAGGAAGCGCTGACAGACTCTCGGCTAATCTGCAGAACCAGTTGGGTGGGGGTCTGGCATTATATACTCTCCTGTCTGTAGGTTTCAAAATTCCTCTGCTGGATATTTTGGTGCAGATTAATTCTCAAGGTCCCTGTTTATTTTGTTGTGTCCTTCCCAGAATTCATGAGAAGCACCTGGCAACTTTACCTTGCCAAGCCTGAGACTGCTGGCTTCTCTGCTTAGGAAATAAAATGGCCTTTTTTCTCCCCCCCCCCCCCCCCCCCTTTCTGCATTCTCTCCTTAGGGAGGTTTTTAACCATTTGCTCTCAGTCCTTGGCTGGGGAGATAATGACTTATTAGTTACATGCTAACTGCA